AACGACGGATCCAAAGCCTCGAAAATTGCGCATCAGGGGGCCGCACTGTATTAGAGAGTGCACTAAAACCTCCTTATCTCCCCTACTTGTTTAGATACACGGCAACATCTTCCGTAGAGTGCATCTTTAAGGGCTTAGTAGATAAGACTTTATGTCCGGAGTAATGACAGTAAGGTTGGGTGAAAACGAGAATCGCACGCTCTATGAATTGAATAGCTTACTTAAATGTATTCGTCTATAGAATTGTATAGTCCTATCTTTGTTATTTGCGTCTGTATTGTTTCAATATATACAATTGTAGATTTGATGCAGTATTTTGATTAGACAGTTGCATTCCATGCGACAAAGGCTCGTTTGCATGTGGTATAATAAACGCTTTGAGGTAGTACATGTCATCGTGTGTTGGCAGCCGCACAGTAAGTCAGGAGGGCAGAGGTCGCGGACCGCTGACGATTCTGGCGGCACCTCAGCTTTGGTCCACTCTGTACTCACTGACCTACATCCGCTTTGGCACAGTTCGCAATCGCCGCTTCAACTTAATTGTTCCGACACTTCAGTGTCCTAACGATTGTGCCGCAATCGGCCGATTTAAAGGGGTGTTCTCACTGTTCTGTGAGTGCGATCGCTTTCGAGCGACCTTTGCACCAGATATACATTTTAGCCAGGTAAATGCTGGCCGCGGCCTAGATGAACTTATGTAAATAGAAGCTTTGTTAGTGAAGCACTTTTCATGTTTTACAAATAATGGTGTCTCCGTGGAATAAAGTTAGAATGGGACACGTTGGCGGAGAGCCACGTTACAGACATATTAATGAAAGAGGGGATTACAATTTGCCTTTGTGACGGCGCGTCCTCCAATTACATTAATCTGGCAAAGTCGTAGCGAGGCGCGCGCCGCAAGCAACATGATTAAAAATTCTATTAGTTGAAAGGCAGACATCTTCTTAATAGGAAAAGTGCATGCGAGTGCAAATTCATGGTTAACATTTTTGTTTTTAGTTAGTTGAAATCTAATTGAATTAAGTAAGCGCACTTGACCCGTTTCACTTCGTTAGCATTTCGTGAATTATATAATAATAATAAATCTTTTATTTTATATAATCGTTATTATATATCAACATTTCGACGATGATTATGTAAACATGGCTTAATATGTTGCAATAAAATAAAATATATTGCCTAACTAAAGTATATTCTCGCTATTCTTTTTACTATATTAGCTAAAACGTTAGTTTTGTGTAATTATTGTCATTTAAAGAGATCTTTTGATGAAAGCTGACAGCGAATAAGTTGCAGCTTTGAAGCACAGTGGCGGCGGCGCAGAAGTGAGTATGCGACGAGGACTTTATTCTTGCATACGAAATTAATACCCTTTTAGCTATAAACTCTACGACGAACACCATTATGCATAAGTATATAATGCGATATAATGTTTTAACGTGGTTAAGATTTGACTTTGTGTGTAAAGAAGCCATCTATACAAAGCAAAATAATCCCATTGTACGAACGACAATCGTACTCTAACGTAAATTCCGTGGTCTCTCACGTTTTTAAATATTGACCCTATGCTTTTAAAAGCCGGCTAAGTACTCAGCAATAACAATAGATCAAGGTGAAGCGTTCGTGCAGTAGCGAAAAAGAAAGCAAGTAGCATCCGCAGTACCCGCACTGTGGTTTCACACACGATATCCGAAGGCGGACTCGGTCGGCAGGCCACAGCGTCCTTCCGACAGATTTACGCGAATCCGTTGTATCTCTGCTCGCATCTCCGACTCCGAGAACGAGAAAAAGATTGAATCTCACTTGGTTTCAGCTTTCGCACAATAAGTATTATTTAATGTAGCAGATTTATTCCATATAATAAATACTTGAAAATTCTCTTCGTGACTTAATGTTGATACAATAAGAAACAGATTTTTTTAAACAACCAAGTACTGACTGAAAACCTCATAAATTAGTTTTTTTTGTATAATATCAAGTGACGGGACGAACGAGTCGCGAGGCTGATTGTATGTTGATATTATAAAGCAATGCAATTACTATTAACGATGTGTTATCCCAAAATACAACACGCGGGTATGACCTACACTGCAAATGTTTTGTTATGGTGACCTATCAAAAGTCGTCCCTAGAATCGAGAAATCTAGTGTGAAAAGAAGATGCTCCAAAAGCTCTCACGAACTCACGGTACTTAACCTTTCGCGTGGAACTAACCCGGTCACTCATTGATGTATGATTTAGCAGTTTTCATACGTGCCGCAAAGTAAAATGTACTAACGCTGCACTTCTAATATTAAAACTTCGAGGCACAGCTCCAGTCAAGTTTAAACAGTATTAAGGGTCTACCAAGTCCCGACCAAACTGTAGTAAAACGTTTACCGGGGAATTGTTCTTTTTGAGTAAACAGGGACCTCTCTGTGAAAGTCGTCGACAGTCGTGTGAGTTCTTTGTAAACACCGACTACGTATTTGAACTGTCTCGGCTTCGTCTGATTTACTTTCGCTTTAAGGAACATTGATCATAGATTTTGTTGGAACTAGGTTACCAAGTTTGTGAACAATACCTATAAATAGTATAATTATTGAGACATGTGTATAGCTTAACCAATTAAGATGCATACTAATCAAAAATACCACTACGATATTTTACGGAACCATGTGAAAATTGGAATACCAACGGTACGAAAATAGCGCACTTGTAGCACTTCATTTTGTAAGTGCAGGACAAAACGTGAAATAGTTTATAATTAAAGTAACCACGTGTGTGCGAGGAATTAAAAGGAACACGACAGGTTAGCAGCTGCCGCCTGTGCACACACCAACCACTCCAATTGTTTTTTTGGAATCCTTGAAACAATTCCAATTCAGCTGGCGATCGTTACTTACAGCCATTGTCACCCGACAATGGCTGTAAGTAGATTCAGGAAGAACAGTTTATTATTCTCACAAATCTCTGACCTCTCAAATCTTTAAGGAATTTTAGTAAATATCTGATATACCACCATTGGAATTATCACCACTGCAGTCTTCAGTTGATAAGGTATGTTTTTGTAATTTGTGAATTTATTAACCCGAATAAATTTTTCAAAATACATATACCTATAGTGTTTTTTCTTGCATAAAATTTATAGTTCACGTCTTATTTTTTCCTAAATAAGACGTGGACAAGATAAAATATAAAATGCGTTGACCTCACATCGAGTAAGCGACCAAGCTTCCATTACTTTTACGCTGTTCCAAAGACCACCCAAAAGAGCTTATCTCTCTAAACCTCTCGGAACATATTAACAAAATGAAAACAAATTAATTATGCAGTTGTAATGATTTTAAAACATTTGCCAACGGAATTGGGTTGAACGCAAACTGTCGTGTTCGGCAGTTTACTTGTTGCGGCATTTAACCGGCGTTGCGATCTGCATAATGCGGTCGTCAGAGCTGGCGGCTACACCTCGTTACTATGGATTTACATTTAACCCCACTTACCCGTGTTGCCAATTTAGTTGCAATTAATTTACGATGTGATTTTGGCACCGTAGTAAACGTTGCACTAATATATTAATTAGGAATTAATACAAAATACACTTTACAACATTTCCTAAAACAGTACTTTTTATAAAAAAAGTAGAATGAAAATTATTTGTTGTAAATGTAAATGGTTTTGGTTGTTTAACATGCAACATGCCTCATCGTCGGGGATAGTGCAAATCCGCGTATGTAGTATTGGGAAAAGTGCGTATCTGCACCAAAAACCAAATTTCGCAGGAGAGGGATTTAACGCTATTACTTTGCTATTTCAATGCCTACGGCTTTCATTTTTGAACAGTAAGCATTAATTTTAAGTTGTCTACGGACTGATAACAATAGATTCCCATAAATTACGCTACTTTCGTTACCACAACATTTACGCGATTTGATTTGGCGACTAAATTACCGAAATGGAGACTCGTAATCAAATGCTAGTTACGTGTTTGCAACTTAGAGGATGAAAAAAAAAATAAAAGGTTTGCACTATCCCCGACGTCGTTTCAATTATTTCCTTATTATCAGTGGCCAGTTGCAGAAGTGTCAACGACGCGCTCGGTCTCATGTCGAATAAATCACAGCACACAGTTCGTTAGATATTCAAACAATGAGTTCATTAGCGCTGTAATCGCTGCGGTGTTCGATCGCCGGACTCTATCCTATATCTATACCTATGTAAACATACGACCCGACGCACGACAGCGCCAAACTGGGTGCCGATCCGAGTTGTTGTGTGCCAATAAACGAAGATACATGTAGTTTTATAAATTTGTTTAATTGTACTCCAAACCAAAGAAACAATAGCGTGTATGACGTTTTTCCGGTCTGTATAACCTGAAAGGATATTATTATAATATGAGGTATAATTCATCGGATGTGTTTGCGGGGGATGTCTAACTCTTTTGCAGTCTATAAGTCTAACTTCGTTCCACTTTTATTTTAGTACAGTCATGTATCAACATGGTCAAATCAAAAAGTACCATAGTCCTTAATGGTATTTTTGGATATTTGGATATTTGCGTCCTCGGATAAAATTTCACGTAGCTAGGTTATAGGCAATAAAAATCACGTATTGTAAAGATAGAATGGGACGTATAAAGAGACCACTTACATCGTTTAATATATTTAAGTGGGGGTAGTTGTAAAGATTATTATGGCCGCGCGGAGGTGCGCACGCAACCTCTCGTGACGCCCTCGCCTGCGCCGCCGCCGCGCCGCAAGACCACCTGCCAATAATCACTGCCTATTGTGGCCATGGTTATAATTAGCCTTAACTTAAATTGCAAACGGCTGTATTATCTTAAGCTGTTATCTAGACAAATTTACCTTAACGCCACGGTTTTGCCTAATAAAATTAAGGTTCGCACATATTTGCTCTTTTATTGGATTAATGTATAATATGGAAAGGGAAAAGTTGTTTGAGTAGAGACTACATGCGGTGGAATATGAAAATACATTTTATTTTGCTTTCTTTTGCAGATCATATACGAGAATTTTCCTGCGGTAATCTCTTCTACCGCACCCTATACATGAATGAAGATAGAAATGCGCTTTTTGTTGGTGCTATGTAAGTAGACCTTTACATGTTATTTTTATACACCTAGGAGAGCGGTCTCTAATTATGTTAACTCACATACATATGTTGTAAGTAGAAATTGCTCTATAACAATATGAATTCATTAAACATGTAGGGGTCCACCATTGACTGTTATTAGTCGCCAAGTTATTGACATAATAATGATTTGTGGAGGAAATGGAACTGAGACATGAACCTCAATTATTTACTGTATCTGTCAACGATTTATTTGAACTATGACCCTTCCATTTGTCACTAATGCTACGGTTCGGAAATAAAACTGGATATACGAGATAGATATTGATAAATTTAGTATATTTACTTTCGAGTAATAAAATAAACTAAAATCACATAATAGAAAATCTAAAAAGATAATATTCTGAAAAATTATGTTTATTGTAAGGAATTTGATACATGAAAACCACAAAAACTTTAAATAATATTTTTAGACGTTCCATAAACGCTTCTATTAACAAACATTTATCAAGAAAGTAACTTACTTTTTATTTTTGGAATCTAAAGGAAGCTAGTGATCAAAGATAGCGTGGTATTTTCGTAATTTCGTAGCAACTTCTGTGCTACTATTTAATTGTAAAGAAATCAATACTTTAGCTGAAGAATTTCTAAGAACAATAGCTATTTCTTACAACGATGACCAGCCACAAGGACAGACCACGGGACAAATTGATTATATTGACATAAATTCAAAATTAGACCGACTTTCCTTCGAGTACTATGCTTCAACGTTGTTTTTTTTTTCACCTTTTGTGACCAAAAACTTCTTTCTCTTGGTTCAAAAGCCGTTCAGAGCTGCCACCCGAGGTAGTTTCCTATATGCCTCATCCAAAATATTATAGTATGATCTGACTCCTCCATAGTGAATCATAGTGACTCTCTCAGTGTCTATTAACATTCAGACGAAAATATTCTCAATGGTTTCTTAACGTTTCGAACTCTTTGCAGGATCAGTGGTCAAACAGAAAAATAAATACAGTAGAAGTGGTTAGTTAGCGTCTGACGCGTGCCAACAGTAGGTCTCGTTAGACCTACTTGAGCTCAGTCCGCCATTTTCACTTTGTATGGTATGGTTGTGTCAATCTTTCGCGCAAATTCATTGACTTACAATTATATGGACGTCGGGTCCGCGCTAAAAAGTGTCCGCACTTGTAAGGCGCTAAAATCGTATACAGAGCGCCAAACTCCGCTTTAGTCTTCATTTGTTGGACTGACAGCGCGATACTGCGATGACATTACAATTTAAATTTCGAATAGGTTGACTTGGGACATTTTTTTCGTGGTTTTTGTATTAGACCCGTCGTCCATTTATTTGTAAGTCAATGCGCAAATTATTTAAAATCGTAGAGAAATGTCTTATTGTGCTATTTTGGAGTGCAAAAATTATAGCCGCGCCAAAAATATTACCCGTAGTAGTATTTCATATCATCGGTAAAGTCTTATTTTAATAAATTTTAAATTTTCTGTTTATTGAATTGATTTTTTGTACTGTAACGAACGAAAGTAAACGTGGGATAATCTCAGAGCAGAATGGTCGAGTTTTATCTTTTTTCTTTCCACCCTGGTAGCGAACAAAAGTTTAGCGAAAAAATGCTTCACGGGTGTTTTGTTAATTTTAGACTTAATTGTTCGAAATAAAGTTTATTATGCAATGTGTGCATCAAAGAATACATCTGTTGTCGAGAAGATACTACTTTCTATTGGTTCAGATGTTAATCGTTCGTCGTAGTCTAGCTACTGGTCGCAAGATGGCAGCACGTTGAATAAAATTTCAATATAAAATCAAAACATCTTTTTAAATTAGAAACTATGATCAATCATTATCAAGATTTCTTAGTGTTTATCATTACCGCTCCGTTCCGATAGTAATCTTAGCTTAACGCACTTCCATTGTTTGTTTTCTTCCGTGAATAGTCACGACTAAATGTGTGCATGTTCCTTGTGATTTTTGCTCTACATATCGCACTGCTATTACAAAAGTGTTATAACTCAAAATATGTGAAATTCAAGATTATACCATTGTTGAACTTAAAATTTTATTCTCTACACTTCAATAAAACCGCCGTTAGAATTTTGTAAAAAAGCAATTAAAAGATATCTACTTAACTACTTAACTCAAAATGAGACCGCTTTATGTGAGCTAGTTCTGGCCAAAATAGTTCTTATTCAAAAATATTAAAGCAGTCTCTTTTGTTTTTAAATATGTATATTTGGCAAGCAGGAAATAACTTATACATAAATTTACACAGATATTTCACGGGAAACGAGTAATTCCATTTTTCGTCGATTGTGAGAAAATTCACTTTTTGAGTTAATGAATACACTATTGTATTAACAGTGCCATATATATATGATGTTTTCTATTAATCGTGATTAATGTACATTTTAAATGCATTCTAACAATAAATAATAAATAAATAAATAAATAAATAACGCACACAATCACTAGGGAAAGCCTGTGTCGCGGGTGCCATGGACACACACATAGACAACCACAAATTACATCCAAACTCACGAGAGAAATAAATGTAGGCCATGCACATATTTCTCTCGGCCCGGGAATCGAACCTGGGTCCCCTGCGTGGCAGGCCGGCATGGTAACTGTTATTACTCCTTATTATTACTCCATCTCCAAGAGTCTAGCTCTTAATTAGGAAGACGATGTCAAATAAAATAATTTTAATTTGATACTTTTCAAATAATTATACATTACCAATCAATAAATTATGCTATATAATACCAATGATCTCAGTACAGCGTACAAAAAAAACCGACCTCAAAAGTTCGTGGAATTACATCTATTTACCAAGTTTTATTGAATGATTCATCCCCTAGTTTGCCACCCTTAGAGGTAGAATATTTTCTTCAAATGGGACCACTACTAAGCTACTCTCTTTACAGCAAAAAAGAGTCATCAAAATCGGTTCACAAAAAAGGCCGGTTATCTCGTAACATACATACAAAAAAAGCGCAGCTATTTTGCACAATTTAACCTTCACTGGGTTCGCAGAGTAGCAAATTAATTAACTTCTATTTTTATTAACATGGACTTCCGTAAAGTAACGACTGAATCTATTAATTACTATAATAGTTTAGTTGAATACCAAGGTTCCTTATTATATTTCTATTTGTGAAGATCTGTAATTGGCTTTCAGTTGTTAATATTATTTTTATTTAATTTAGTTTAAGCTGCTGGTCTTCCGATATGACAAATAAACAAACTATTTACTGACCTGTAAACCTAAGACCATTGAAATGACGAATCAATTTAGTTATTTTTTATAAAATTCCTTTGGCAATTTATTGAAATTACATTTATAGAAAAACGTATCGTACAGTTTTTTCATTGAGTATCTCTGTGTTCATATTCACTGATTTTATCCCATAATGTAAAACTTAGTACCGAATTTGTATTTAAACAACGGATTATGCAAATTGCCGTTTTCCATGGACAATGTAATGGAAATATAACAAAGCCCCTATTCAATAGTGCTTACTGATTTGTTACAGGGATCGAGTTTACAAACTAAATATGTCTGATATAAGTCAATCACACTGTGAGGTGAGTGATATTTATCTTAATTATTAACATAAATTTAAGTTATACGTTGGCGTTGATTCAGGCAAACGCAAACTTAATTTAAGTTCAGGATTGTCTCTTTCGCATAAGTAAGAACGAGATAAAAGATTTCATTTGAGATCTGACGAGTAGACTAATCAGACCTCGCATGAACTCGGACAAGTCGGCGTTAGTCGAAGCTCATGTAAACCGGTATTAAATTTAATAATACTTATTATTTATAATATTATTAGTAAAAATGTACTCAAAAACTAGTGTTAGAATTTACCCAGCTTATATCAGGGCAAATGCACCACCGCCCCAGCATTGGGGACTCCCACCTATTTACCAATGTGCTCAAGAGCCGCGAGTGCCGTTCGAGATGAGACGCATGCGATTTAACAGCGACGCACTTTGCTCTCTGATAATAGTTTCTGAAATCGTCGACACGTTTGTCAGCGAACATGGTTGACGCGTGACAAAAAGTGGAATTCGTAACAAAATCATGAACGGATTGTTATACTAAACGCGCAGTGCACTGTATATCCATTGCGTGTAGTTAACCTACACGCTTATAAGCAATATACTAAAATATTGTAAGTAGCTGTCAACATATAAAAATCAATCAGATCCAAACGTAATTGAATAGTCTTGTCCTTAAATTCACAAATGCACAGAATTTACATTATGTTTAGTAGGCAGGATTTACGTTATTACTAAAATGCACTAAATTATTAGGTTACCTTGTTTTTGGGCTTAGCTCTAGCTGTTGTTGAGGTTATTTTATATAAATTTTAATATAAAGTAATGGTAGAAACGATTAAAATGATACGCATATTGAAATTCCAAGTGCCACTTTGATTCAGCTATACATATATGGCTGAAAGCGCAACATACTAGACGTTTTACATTTCTCAACTGAGTATCATCATCCCTTGAAAGGTAAAGTCCTTGTCATTATATGTCACACTTCGCCCTCTTGATGCAAAAAGGGAAATTAGAAAAATGTTTACTCACCGTTATCTTGTGATGCACAGAAGGGGTTCCAAAAGCACTCTACTGTCTTTTAAAATCGTAATATCGTTATTCCTACTTTATATTAAATTTGTTTAATCGGATTGATATGTGGAAGTCACGCGAGGATAAGAACGAATGAAAGGATTGAAACAAAATTGTTACCCGTATCCAATGACATTCCATATCTGTTTACATATCATTTAAGATCGATAGAGTAAGGTATTTGAATTTATCTTTTGTATGTTTCGAACCAAAAATTAGTAAAATAGAAGAATTTCAGTAATCACCTCTGAAGTAAAAAGAACTGATGGATTATATTAGAACCTGCAGCAGCTTCTGCTATCTGCATCTCTGATCGCGATAAAAATCTCAGTACTAAGTACTAAAAAAATCGACCTCAAAAGTTCGTGGAATTACATCCGTTTGCCAAGTTTTATTGAAAGCGGTTACCGGAAAGTGCGCGAAACCGGATTCATCCCCTAGTTTGCCACCCTTAGTGGTGGAATGTTTTGTGTACATTTAAATGGTACTACTACTGAGGTACCCTCTATCCAACAAAAAAGAATCTACATATGATGATTCGGTTATATCGGTGATATCGGTTCATAAATTAGACGGAGTTATCGCGTAACATACATTCAAAAAAAGCATACATTCGATTTGAGAACCTTAATCTTTTTTTGAAATCGATTAAAAATAACTTTAATAATTGTCCTTTAGAGTATAAGAAAATAAATTTTCAACAGAGGGACGCACTACTACTAGAAGCGAGTAATGTGGCAAGGTGCGTGAGCAAGGGAAAGTCAGAGCCTTTCGAATGTCGCAACCATATACGCGTGCTGCAGCCACTAGGAGACGGAGAAAGACTCTACGTTTGCGGCACCAACGCCCACAGTCCCAAAGACTGGGTAGTTTATGTAAGCTTACCACTGATTATTATAACACCTAAGGTTATTATTTAACTGAGTGAATACCAATGTAAGGGATTACGATTAGCAATATTTTAGACAGATAAAGTGGCAAGGATTCCAATTTCCATAATATTATATTTCGATTATGTGCATGAAGTATTTTGAGCTACGGTACGTAAAGACAATGGAACCTTACAGAGTTAATGCTTAAGTTTATTATACAGTTAAACCTGACCCATCTTCCTCGGCACGAATACGTGCCCGGCATCGGGTTAGGAGTTGCGAAATGTCCGTATGATCCTGCGGACAACAGCACGGCTGTGTGGGTCACGCAGGGCAACCCGGGTGGCCTACCTGCGCTCTACGCGGGGACTAATGCAGAGTTTACAAAAGCGGACCCAGTCATATTCCGCAATGATTTATTTGACCACGGTCAAAAGAAGTTCAATTTCAAGAGAACGTTGAAGTACGACTCCAAATGGCTAGACAGTGAGTATCTTTAATTGATTGACTTTTAAAGTTTGCCTTTAAAGTACTTGGAGTCGTGAACCAATCCAAGCCCTTAGTTTAAATTGAAAGATTACAGTACAGCTTGTACAACTAATTGACACGTTAGATTACAGTTAAATTGACGACGCGCCTTGTCTTCTACTAAAATATTTGTTCCAGAAACTAACTTTGTCGGATCCTTCGACGTCGGTGAATATGTTCTGTTTTTCTTTCGGGAAACGGCTGTGGAGTTTATGAACTGCGGTAAAGCAGTATATTCTAGGGTAGCCAGGGTATGTAAGCAGGACACGGGAGGTAAACACATACTCAGCCAAAATTGGGCGACGTATTTAAAAGCGAGGTTAAACTGCAGTATACCTGGAGAGTTTCCATTTTATTTTGACGAAATACGTAAGTTCCTTACATATCACTTTTTCTCCGCATTTCATAATTTATTTATACAAAAAGTAAGTCAATGTATTTTGCGTACACAGAGAGTGTATACCAAATGCCGGACGATCCGACACGTTTCTATGCGGCATTTACAACAGGCGCAAGTGACGGATTGGTCGGTTCCGCCATCTGCACCTACACTATGGACGATATTCAAGAAGCCTTTGCTGGAAGGTTCAAGGAACAGGTGAATATTACAGCTTTAATAAAGCTAGTCAATTGTTAATAGTACATTGTGTATATAGGGCGGTAAATAAGAATAAGAAAGAAAAAGATAAGAAATTATAAGATAAGATATTATAAGATAAGATAAGATAAGAAATTACTAACGAGAGAGATGTATATAAAATCAATAATTTCAAGATATATATAAATATTATATAAATAATAAATAATATAAATAACTGTATTTTAATTAATAAATTTAGTAAAATATAAGTAAATTGCAAATGGTTGACTTTTTTTATATACTTCAAGCTTATGCGAAATACATTCAGATTTTTCGAGTATAAAAACTTTTACCTTAATCTTGACGTATAAGAGCAGTACAGTGCAATTAAATAAAAAAAAAACATTTCGGCCTAGGCCGGTAAAGTAATGAAGAAGCACGCGGGCGCACTTTAGTACGTTACGACCGACTTTGCCTATATGTCAATGACTCTGTTTTCGAGCAAGTGTGATGAAAATAATGTTTATTTCAATTCTTTTTAAGATTTGCTACAATATTGAAATTTTTAATAACGTCATCGAAATTATGCATAAACAGGCTACGTCCAGTTCAGCGTGGCTGCCTGTGTTAAGAGCACGGGTTCCTGAACCTAGGCCGGGTACTTGTGTCAACAACACAGAAGCCCTTCCCGATAATGTCCTGAACTTCATCAGGTATGTACATAGTTATTAAACTTTGTTACTTCGTTCAGATAATTTGTGTATAAATGTTATAGGGCAATGTCGCGTCACGTCGTAGTGCTTTGGTCACAGGTAAGCACAAGTCACAATTTTTGCGGTTTTCAAATGAAATTAAGTGCAAGATCTAATTAGAAGATTACTTTGAAGAGTTTCTGGAATAGGGACCTATTTAAAAAACAACTATCTTGGCTTAAAAAAATTACGATATCTGGCGGAAAGATAAAACGTTTAATGGCTTTCACAAAAATATGAAATGATAAAAAAAGACAAAACGAACATATTCAGTCAACAGCACACCATGCTATACAATTTTGTTCGAATATCGGTTCCAGGATGATGAAACAAGATCCGTCAATGTGTAGCTTCATATGTTGCCGTCTGTACGTAACAGATAGCTTTTACCTACTGAAAGAACAACAACTTGTATGTGCTGCAACCATCAACATAGTCGCACGATGCTGAGCATCAACAACAAAACAATATACCGGACCAATATTTTTATGTTTGTTTTATACTAATTTAAACACAAGAAATTAGCACATGTTGAATACAATTGTGTAATAATTAAAAAATGAAATAATTTATTTGGGCACATATTTCTGAAAAGCAGCGACTTGTACTTACCATATAAATTCCTATTAGTACCTACTATTTTGTGCGTAAATATTGTAGATACTGTCGTAAGTAGTACATAGGTGCAACCAGTAAGTGGGCTTAAATATTAAAAGGGAACGTGAGTATATTGGAAAATCAAACCGTTTCATCTTTCATCCCCTTGAGAATACCTAACCTCAGCAGGGTAACGTTAGTTGCGTAGCACGTGTACCCTCTAATTGGGTGACATTCACATGATAATGAATACATAATCAAATGCGTAAAGATTTTTTAATGTATCCTTTTGTTGTATCGAAAAGATATACTAAAGTAATGATATTTTGAACACAAAGTAAGGACTGCCGCCGATTGAATTTGGTGAGGTCAAAATATCGTTTGATAAGCTTATTCTAGTCAGTTTTTAGCTGTCCTGTTTTGTATGCAAATGTTAAAATCTTACTAAGATAAGCCAAAAAGGTGGATTATAGTTTGGTAGCGTATGTGTGTAAGGTTTAAGATAGAACAATTAAAATTATTTACGCAATGTAGAGTTTAATATAAATAATTTGTAAATAATTTTGATCAACTGTTTTTATTTATATGAAGAAAATATTTTTACGAATCTTCAAAAATTAAGTAACTTAAATATAATTTGTTAAAATTTTATTTAACCCTGTTCTGTCCCCACGTTGGGCACCATGTTTTCATTAATTCCTTATTAGCGTATATTCCCTTCACGATATGTTATTAATTAATCGTTAAATAAATAATTATTACGTCTTAGATCACATCCACTAATGGACTCTGCGGTGCGGCATGAAGGCGACACGCCAGCGTTTTACAAGAGAGACCTGGTGCTGACAACGCTAGTGGTGGATCGGCAATTCGTCGACATGCTCAGGGACGATATCACCTATACCGTATTCTATGCCGGCACTAGTAAGTGACTAACTTTACATTTTGTTGTTCTTTTAAGTACGTTCGATAATGGACGCTATAATGGACGAAAATTGCAAAATTACATATTTAATATTTAATTACCGATAATTGTGATTCCATTTGTTTTCTTATTAGATATTTTGCTGTTTTTCCGACACCACTTAATAGAACAGCCCCCATTGTTAGAGATATTATATTTGTTACAATAAATACTGAATATACCGAGACATATACACAGATCAGATGTTGGGGCTGTACTATTTCAGTTTTCTAATTTATGACTTCAAAACAGACGAGAGTTGATATTTAAAAGTGATATATGAAATATAACTATATGAAATATAATAATAGAAAGGTATATAAAAGTGATATGGTCCCATTTATCAGGCAAGTTTTGTTGTAGGTAGTTGCCAGGGATGGATGGCCCTTATTTCGTCTCTATTTCTGGTTATATACTCGATGATTCGAAATCATGAACTTTAATCATATTTGAAATCATTTTGAAATCTAAATTTTACGTTTGGATCGCGGCCATATTGCGAAATGTTAAGAACTTCTTTGTTCTGTTATTGAAAATCAAGACTAATAGAGTAAAAAAGTAACCTTTGTCAACTTTTTGTCAAAAAGTTGTCAACCTTTGCGAGAATTTGCATTGTTATGGGTGTACTACGTGAGTGCGAATGCTGATTACGCGAATGACGATAGTGCGAAAACGTTCATTTGCGCGAATGGTCAGTTGCGCTATAGTTCATTTGCGCTAATGGTCAGTTGCGCGAAAGCTTGAATGCGCGAATGACGATAGCACGAAGACAGATTTTCGAAAGCTGGAAAGCAAGTCAATTGTTACAAGTACTCCCATGGCTGCAGGTTGTTGCAATTCGGACAAAAAACCGTTGTAATAATCTTTTTTTTTAAATGATTGTAATTAAAGATTGCTTTGTTTGGTTAATTTAAATAAAAAAGTTAAAAAATAAACGTATAATTCATTATGAAAGCTTTGCATTGCAAATAATTGCAACAGCCTGCAGCCAAGGGAGTACTTGCAACAATTAACTTGCCGTTCAGCTTTCGCAAATCTGTCTTCGTGCTATCGCCATTCGCGCAAATGAACTATCGCACATTTAAGCTTTCGCGCAAATGAACTACCGCGCTTTTAAGTTTTCGCGCAACTGATCATTCGCGCAAATGAACTATTGCGCATTTAAGCTTTCGTGCAACCATCTTCGTACTCACGTAGTACACCCCATTATTATAGTGTACATGTTTTCCAAAATTTCATTGATAAAATTAGAAAAAAACAATTCGCTATATAGTAGTTTAGCTGCGAAACATGGGACAACTGAAATCCGTTAGCCACCGTACCGAGCTAGCAACGAGAAAGTAGCTAATAAATAGTTCTCAGATTATACGAACACCTACTCAGAAATCTAAAAATTGTTTCAAACGACGAAATGTTTTATACCCGACTGAAACTCCTCTTATTGGATAATGAATTCTAAGATGCAGGGGAATTTCTTTCGAAGAAATTGGAATTTTATTTTTATTAAATTTGACGACGTATTTCGACAATAATTTGTTTTTTTTACTTATTCTAAGTATATTGTTTTATATGTATTGGTAGGTCAATGATATTAATTATTGTTGTTTGTATTAGTGCCGATCATATTTCACATTGACAATACGAAATAAATCCTATACTGTTGAAGAACAATATTATTTATGTCGTATTGTCAGAACAGAAGCTATCTATGTTACTGGACTAGTTTCTTGATCGATCTACTCGATCAACATAGACATCGTATTGTACTTACAATGAATTTAGGAATATTTTACAGAGAGTCATAATAAATAGATAACATACTTACAATATTAGGGTACCTTCAAATTAGACGCTTGTAGAAGCGCTGCAGTGCGCGGCAGCTGCGCATCCGTAGCGCTTCAGTAATTTTTAGTTTACTAATTGTGACAGCTAAAAACCAACCAACACACTAGAGGAAAATACAGTCAATCTTGTAACTTTAAGTTGTATAATAGGAGCTTATAATTGTAACAAATAGGAGCTTATGCAGCTTAAAATTGTTTTCAGAATTCTGAACACAATTTTAAGCTGCATAACTGTTTCTACATTAGCAAAAGTCGCAACAGCCGTAGGCAATTTAGTAGCAATAGAGCTTCTTGTAAAAGAGTTCGTCGAGGGTGTTCCCGCGTTCCGTGGGTGTTACTGCGTTCCGGTTTTGAAGGGTATGTAAACTAGTGAAATTACAGACACATGGAACTACTGGTGCAGTGGTAGTGCTCATCAGATTTGTGCGATTTATAGAGCTGTGAGTGATACTGCAAGTGCTATGATCAAGCATGTCGCTTACCACCATGCGCGCGTCTTGTTCATACCGTTATCGTCGCTTGATATCATAAAAAAAATCTAAAATCGAACACTCAGAAAAAATTCCTTCGATCCGGCCGGATTCGAACCGACGTCTTCTAGCATACCGTGCCAGACGCTTTTTCTGAGTGTTCGATCTTTGTATTAATAATTATAACAAATTAGTGGAGTAATTTCACAAAAAAATAATTGAATATCAATTCAATAAAAATTCATAATACACATGTTAATATTTTTTTTAATTGTCCGTACCTTTTCTGTGCTGAAAGAAAATGTTTAAACCTGCTAAGTATATGCTTGCTAAGTTGTAAGCCATACTCAACAAGCAACTACAAAGCAGGAGATCAGTTAGTCATCGAGTTGTTCGTCTCGTCACATGGTATCGTAAAAAAGCAAACTAAATACCACCTTTTATTTTATACTAGTGCCCTCTAGAACCTATTAAACACTAACGCTGTTAATTGCATTTTGCACTAAAAGGTGCATACGCTAGTCTTCCAACTGTCGTAAAATGATGCATATAAGAGTTTGACTATAAAAGTAGCTATATTAGAACAGTATAATGTTTCCAGAAGTTCTATAACATAATTAGACCAGTTGCACAGCACAACGCAATTGTTACCCTTGTGAAGATTTGAAATGCATTCGAGAAATTACACTCGAGTTAAAGATCTAATTTTAAAAGCGCACCTTTAAGCGAGTTAAAATTAGCGCTTTAACACTCGTATTACTTGCCGTATTTGAGTGGAAATTACAGTAAAACGACCAACGCCGTGTCATTCAGAGGACTATTTTACTTATTTTTTATTTGCACATCTACTAACAACTACTAATACGTAGTGAGCTATCAATAAGTAATAAATAACGACGTATCATTTAGTGTGTAGTTAATAAAAATGGAGACGTGTATATTTTTTTAATTTGTCAATAATAATTTTAAAGCGATTCTGAATTATAAAAAAACAGTAAATTTTAAATCATTTCTAGCCGCTTAAATGTAAAAGTATATTAAATGACAGCCTTAATATTTTAACGATCGTCGATAAAAATAACACTGCTCCATTTTAAATTTCACTGACATAACTACAAAGAATATTTTCTTTCATTCGTTCGTTCACTCTTTTCCAAAGGTCGTTATTAAGGCGTTCATAATAAATTGTTAATACCAAGTGACGGGACGAACAAGTTGTACGTCTGGTGGTAAGCGACACGCGTGTCCATAACAGTTGTTTTGCTACTCGGAGCTTTAAATAATAAAGATCTGAGCGGTACTGCCACTGCGCCCGTCACTCCCGAGACATAGGTAGACAAGTCCCCTGTATCTATAATTTCACCAGCACCCTTACTCTTCAAAACCGAAACACAGTACTGCCACCTTACCTGTCTATTTCTGCCGCCAAGCAGTAATGTCAGCATTACTGTGTTCCTGTTTTGAAGGGTAACGTGCTGGTGAAATTATAGGCACATGAGACTTGTCAACTTATATATCAGGGTGACAGACGCAGTGGCAGTGCCCCTCATATCTTTGCGATTTAAAGCTCTGAGTGGCACTGTAACTGTAACAAGCGCACGACTTGTTCGTTCCGTCACTTGATATTACAAAAAAAACTAATACTTCGTGATTAACAGCGATTACTGATTTCCAACTCCTGCTGGTTACCGATTAGTTACAACTATTTTGCACAGTTAATTCGTGGTATCTTTAATCAAGTTTTTTTAATGTTCCTCGTAGGTGCTGGAGAAGTATATAAGATAGTGCAATGGGCAGGTGGCGTCTCCCGAGTGGCGGACATTTGGCGGGTCTCGGGTTACGAACCAGTTCGAGCTTTAGCACTCTCGAAGACAACCCATTCTCTATACCTCGCCACAGATTACAGATTACGACAACTGCCATTAAGAGCTTGTACACATCGGTAAGCATTTTGAACCATGCTTCTACCATGAGATAACAGTGACAAATATCGCTAGCGACCGCGTAAAATGTTTTTATACAAAATGTTGTTTCTTCTCGTGACCCCTAGAGATGCTGTACAATTTGACATACAAAATTATGAAGTTATTTACGTGGTCGCTAGCGACAACTGTCAAAGTAAAATCGTGGTAGAGGCATAGACCTCATAGCGGGATAACACTTTAGTCGTTTAAATGTGTAGGCTTATTAAATTACTTCTCTTTCTTTTTCCTTATAGGAATTGGACTTATTCCTGAAACTCGAAATGTAAATTTACTCCTTAATTTATTAATATAGTAATATTAAAAGCCATGGTAGTCCAATGATCTGATCTACTGCCTCACAAGCAAAGGTCGTGGGTTTCTCGGAATTTATGTGCGAAATTTAACTTAACTTTCCCATGAGCTTTTCGGTGAAGGAAAACATCGTAATGAAACTTGCACGTCGAAGAACGTTGACTCGCCTGAGTGGAGACCCCTGCCCAAAAGTGGGACGTATAAAAAGGGTGATGATGTGTTGATAATACGAGCGTGTGCGAATTTAGTTCGATTGATTAAGATGGACTGAAATAACTGACAACGAATATGTCCATTGAACTGTCATATATTAAACTGTCAGGTGTTAAAATAAACGTTTGCACAGGTACGACAGTTGCGTACGATGCGTCTTAGATCCATACTGTGGATGGGATAAAGAAGTTGGAGCGTGTCGTCCTTACACGCCTGGCCTTCTCCACGATGCTACGAATTCTACTCCCTCGATATGCGAGGCCAGCGCTCCTCTGAGGACTGTGCGAGCGAGCTATGGTCAAAGCGTCCATTTAGCTGCCTTTGGAAAAACACCTGAGGCATTAAAAGATCAACAAGTTACTTGGTATCACCATTCCCGACAGGATGGGCGGCATAAAATAAATTTCAAGTAAGTTTGTAAACTTATCTGACACAAATAATACCAGTATTTCTTTGTTATCGACATTAATTCTTAGTAATATCGCAGTATTATAATTTATTTTGTTTGCAGCTTGGACCGAGTTCTTGAAACGTCGGAAAGAGGCTTAGTGATCCTATCGGTAACAGAATCGGACCGAGGACGCTACGAATGCTACTTTGGTCCTACCCTCATTGCTTCTTATAACTTGGACATCGACATACACAGGTATTGGTGGTCACAAATAGGTAGCTTGACATTTACGGTATAAATTTTCGTAAATGCTTATTTCGGTCAAGTAACGAACAATTTGTTAACTCAGTGTAATAACTGACATGGCAGCACTGCCTTTGATGTCAATTAAATAATCAATAGCATTTGTTATTTAATTGACATCAAAAGTGTTACAGTAATTATGATAACCGTGTTGTTGTAGATGTACACAGCCAAGCAAAACGCAAGATTATAAGCAAGTTTATTCAGATTGGTGCCACGAGTTTGAGAAGTACAAAAGCGCTATGAAAGTTTGGGAGACGAGGCAAATGGTAAGTCTCGTGGTTTACTTAGATAACACTGCTTTATGTACGTATTAACTGTATATGGTTAATCTCTTGCCGACAAAAAGTATATAATACGAATTACAAAGCTCTCTCGTATATATTCAATTTAAAATAATGTTTCATAAAATCGCCATGTAATAAATATGTACTAACATTACGACCACTACGTGACTGAGGCCTGGCCTGAAAGTCTTAGCCTGGCTGTAAAACCGAGGTTGTTATTGCCTACTTAAGGGTTCAAAAGTCGACTAGCAAATAATCAAGCAGTTATCGAGTCATCAATTGGCATATGTTTTATTTCCACGATGGAAACCAACCGTTATTACCCCCAATTTACTTTTTTCAACTTTAACAACGCTGCCGAATGAATACTCAATGCTATAATTACTCATAATCATAACGACTAATAAATATTGTAAGCTTTTGGTGGCGTAAATCGCAGCCATAGTATGCCGCAGCGCGATAGCTACGATAAAATTTATGTACCTACAATAATAATAACCAGACCAAATGAGTGTAATTTTATTAGGCCAACTTTGTAATTACTGCCGTTTATTATTCATTAAGTTATCCGTAATTACCTGCAAAATGGTGAGGTCAGAATTTTAAGTTATTATTTATTAATAAAATATCTCTGTACATTAATTAATAAAATATATCTATCGTCTCAATTGTTTGAAATAGATCTAGCTTTACTATGGTTAAATATATTTTAACGTCAAGAGAAAGAATTCTCTATATTTATACTATTTGCAAATTAATAATTTTGATAAAATCAAAATTAAATTTGATAAAAAAAAAGTTGTCAATGCCTCCACTAATAACAATTTTATTTTCAGCAATGTTCGAAAAGCCTGAATGCGTCGTCGCAGCAGAACAGTCTGGGGAATGAGATCGTGACATCACTGCGGTGATAGGGCACAGTCACACAGACAGTTGATTAATGTACGATTACTCGCCGCCCTCGCGGCATAAACTATCCGATATTTCGCCGACAGTGTCCGGCAGGCAGTGAGCACGGGCCCCTACCACCGGTCTACAGGTCAGCATTTTAAGGGAAACCACCAAAACATGTTCGATTATTTTTTTCAAAACAACTCGAATCAATATTTTTGTTGCCATTATGTAATTGTTGTTCCTTGTATTTGGAAATTTACCAAATGTAACGCACAAATGCGCGCACTAAACTTACTTATGTTGTAACAAACCATTTCCGTTATAAAAGTACATCGTAAACATGGGGTAAGGGTCGTAGCTACTGCTTACTGAAAGGGGAATGATAATGTAGTAAGGGGATGATCCGTTAAAATAGATTTGCTGGTCGTTCTCCGTAGCCAGCCGTTCCAGACACTGCGCTTTGACGGGTGGCTGACTGCTGTGCTACTTTACTGCCAATTTTTATTTCTACTGTGTTTCTAATTCATATTTCATACGTCCATACACCTTTGGTCTTGTTATATCGGGTAGTATATGCAGCAAGAAAAGCGTTAAAGTTATTTTTAATGTATTGTTGATGAACGCGACTGAATAATTTAAGCAAAACTTTGTCAAAGTTACTTCAGTGCATGACTATTATGTAAAATTGTTATCGCCTCCGCATTGAAAAATGTAACTAGTTCGTACAAGCCGAACGTCTTGAAGGTGTGATTACACCGCTACAAATTGCTGTGATATCAGTTCTCGTTGGTTTACAAATGAAAATGATAAGAGAATAATAATATTACTTAAACATTGTTTTCGTATTACTATACATTTTCATATAAAGTCGATAATACAAAAAATTATTATAGTAAAAACACAGCACATATTGAATTTTCTCTCGACTTTTAATAGTAAAAATTATTGAAAAACAAATTATTTTACAGCATTTAATTTACATTTTCCAAATCCATTATTAATTAAGAATAGGTACTATTATAAAAAAGAGCAATACAAACGCCAATTTAGGTGTAAGGGTAATTGATAATGCTTATTTGTAGAGTCGTTTAACAATTGATAGCATTTATTTGTGTAGGTTTTTGTTGTTCGGCGGCATCTTTGCGTGTTGAAACACTGTTCAAAGTTATGTAGAAGTTTCAATTAGGTTAGTATTAGTTTCAAAGAGATGGAATTATTGATTTATTGCCATAAAATGTAATTTTAGGCCCGACTTCGGACTCGGAAACCGAATTTAATAGAAGTTGTTTTGTTTTGTTTTCGGTTGAATTTAAATAGGAATTTCGCTAGAATAGTGCCTTGTGAAGCATGCTTACGGTATATACAATTCTAATTGAATTTTACTTAATATTTTTGTGTACAATGTAAAAAGTTATTGTGTAGAGTTTATGAATTTGAGCGTAGGTAAATCGTTCGTGAAAAAAGCAATAACGTTCCAATGAATTAAAATTTCGACAGTATTAAATATAATTTTTGCAGATTAGATAGAGTACTAAAGTTAAACTTAGGGAGTAAGTAAAAGTTACAATTAATTTATGAGGAGGTACCGTTCAGGAAATCGCCGAAAACGCCTCAACTGTTGAAAAGGCATTAAAATATTTATTATAATAAAACTACCTAACCACTAAAGCTTATTTAAGATCAGGTACAAGGTACCATTTTAATAGATCTCATACATATTTGTATACTGCCATGTAATCTTGCTTTGTACCTTTTGAAGCAGTATTGTAAAGCAAGACCAGTATAAATGTACATCATTCACTGTTTCCGTATTGTTGGCTTGAACAGTACTTACAATGTTTTTTCTCAGTATATCTTTAAAAGTTAATTTATACAACAATGTATATAATAATGAATTTCGTAGAAATTGCTACGTTTATTATTGTAAAAAATGTATAAGTATTGTAGCATAAGCGATTGTTTTATAAAAGAAACACGAGAAATAAATTATTTTAGATCTAAAAATTTGCTTTTACTTTATATGTATCTTTTTTATTTTAGCCAAAGCTTTAGATACTATGTAAACAATTGCTTTAACAATCAATTTCAACTAATTAGAACCTACGCCACTGCTGGACTGAAATATTAAATGAAGAATGAAGATTCCGTTTTAGATTTAAATTAAAAATTATTTTATGTATTTACAGGCATTCGCGAGGAGTCTTAAAAAATAAGCTCTCGTATATATCTTTTTACGGACAATGAAACCGTAATTTGAGTATCGTAAACGGCGTCTGTCTCAGATTGGCGAACATCATTGAATTTAATTACCGAGGGAGAGTGAAATAATTGGCGAGTCGCCTGTAATGGCGCGCTTTATGGCCAAATTAATAGATTCTCGCTGAGGCTAAACTCAGTTCAACTCGCGAACAATAAATCTGACCTGAAATTACTAATATACTCTAATTTTATTGCGACTATTGATAGCAATATCTCGACGGGTTGCGGAGATGAAATATCGGAGGGGAAACGATATAAATGGAAGCGATTGATTGCTCTCGCTCTATTTAACCCAGGGAGGCAGTTCTCGCTCAGACAGGCAAAGGTAGGTCGGTGGAGCCACAGCGGCTGCGGCGGAGACGGCTAGAGCCGTTAATACTCACACTGATTAACAACTAAATTGACAGCGAACTGACCATACATTTCTAGCTATCCCTGTATCTCTGTTACCTACACAAGATTAGAAAAGTTTGTACGGCAAGAAAAGTATATATGGTATTTTTTTTGAAAAATGTCATCTATTGAAAGTCATGTGTATTGCTAGGGGTTCAAAATTGTTCAAACTTTATACGTTAATAACTGCTTGTAAAAAAAAATATGAGGAGACTGATTGATATGTACATAATAAATTTAACTTGTAACTAATGCTGGTAACCTAAGTGCAATTACGTACACACGTACAGGCTATTTTTAATGGAAGCCTTGAAGATTAGAAGATCAATTTCCTAGAAGTGAACGTACAGGTAATTTGCAACTTATATTCAAGGGAAAACCAACAGAATTTACTTATTCATTATTTTGCCTTCCTACATTATTAGATCCGGAAACTGAGTTCTAATGAATTATGTCTCCACTTAATTAGTATAAATGAACATTGTTTGTTATAATTAGTACACTAAAAACAAACAATCTACGCAGTGCTAAGTGTACACTAAATATTCAGTGAGTGGATTATCTTTATACAAATACGGTCGTGTTTTTTAATAGCGTAACAACATTAGATACATAATTTCATTTAACTTGGCCTTGGAGACGCTATTTCGATTATCCTTTGATCTTCCATCCCAGCTACGTTCTAGTGCTCGACTGCGCTCGCGAGATCTCGAATCGACGTTGGTAATCGAATTAAGGAAAGGGCCTACAAGTCTACTTTGTCGAGCGATGGAGCGAGGGATGGGTCGTTTAGGAGCTCGAGCCGCATGATCGATCATACGCGTCATGTGAGCTGCTCTTAACGTTGAAACAATATCTTCAAAGCTCCACTAACTCATTCCTAAATAGACATCTTACGAAAGCGATACACAAATCTCCATTAGATAATAAACATATTTGTTAGTATTTCGATCGCTTGACATGTGCACGGCTCTACTTCGTGAGTTGAGAACATGTGTTCCTTTCTACACCATTCTTATTTCACTTGCTTCCCAACGAGCCGCATAAATTACCGCTTTCCTGTGACTCGCTGAATGTTTCTTTTTTTCTGTTAATATCGCCAGCTTAATTTATGGCAGCGGAATAAACTAGGGAATTTCTTTCGGGTTGTTTCACTGTTATATTGGATCGTGAATGTCATCATCACGAAATCTAAATAAGCTTTTACAAATCCGTATTAGTAGTTTATGCTCAAGGGTTATGTCATCATAACAAAATGCAAATTAACACAGATTTAATCCGGATTTATGCCGCTGAGCTCAATAACTGTTAATAATCCGAAGGCGAGCGGTCGGACGCCGGACTCTTTACGGACGGAGCCGTCAACCCTTTGCAAATCTAACAACGTTTTAGCCTTGTTGATTTTCCATCACACGTCATAATTTTTCTCTAGTATTCTTCTTTTAAGATTTTCTTACCAAGTCACTGTTTGGTTGTATTGAGTTTACTTACTACAAAAGGTTAGCTTTTTTATTATTAACATGTTTTTACCAAAATTGGTAACAAAACACTTTATTTAATTGATATTGCGATCTTTTAACAATACATTGCTGTTCTAAATACGTTCTTAACAAAAACTGAGTAAAAAGTCGTTGAAAATCAAATACAAAAGATCCGACAACAAGCACATAGAAAATTTCGTTAGGTCCGCTGATTCATTCCATGGTTTAGTTGGCGTAGCGTCTGACACGGTTTGCTAGGGGACGCTGGTTCGAATCCGGCCGGATCGGAGGAATGTTTTCTAAATGTTCGACCTTTGTATTAGTAATTATAACAAACTAGTGGAGTAATTTCCAAATTGAATATCAATTCAATACAAATTTTAAAACTAAGTAGTTTCTAAAAATATTATTAGTTCATATTCGTTGTTTGCTTAAGATGTACAACGGCATATTTTGGAGAATTCCAAAGATTTGCGGCACGTTCTCTTAGAAAGGTAAGATATTAATTTATTGAAATGCAAATTAAAACGTCATCTTGGATGGAGGATTTGGGAATTTAATTTTATTACACGAGTTGTTGTTACCGATAGAGCTCCATTTTAATATTAAAAAACAAATTATTCAAATCGTTAAGACTTAAATTTGGCCACTTTCCGAGCGAGACTTCGCGTGGTGTCCCGACGAGGGGAAAAACAAAAACAGGGCTTATTATTACTGGGTCAAGAGAAAATCCAAAGTATCTATGTAAATATAGGTAGGTTAGGTATTTAGAACGAATGAAATTCCTTGTGTTTACACTTCTTATATTTATTTTGTATTGTACTAATCGTAAAAGGACCATTAATAAGTGACGGTAGCCATAAAAGTATGTACCACTAATTTTTCGTGTAATCTTTTTGCTCTAGCTCTATTTTTCTGTCTATTAATATCAAAACTTGGAAATTATGTAGTACGCAGTTTTACACATTATTTATGAAATATTTTACCAAAAAGTCTGTATTTTTCCTTGTACTGCAATTGTTTAGTTACACATATATTACATACAAGCTTCGGGTTTCAATACAAGCTTCGAACTAACTCGTATCCATATCATTTATAGTAAAATCGATATAGAAAATGGAGAAATCTACACCACAGCTAAAAGGAGACGTCTCCGTTTGAAATGGATATGTAAGGCCTACTAATTAAACTTTTTTAATCTGGCAGCCGCGCAAGGTGTCGACGGCTCAACGCCGCTCGCCCTCATCGAGATAGCTCTTTCTCAATTTAAGGATCTCCGCGAAGCCCTCCGATAAGCCCCAGATTTAGCGCTGAGCGAATTTGTTCGGGTAATTTACTTTCCAAGTTGTAAAGACAATAAAACTTAGTGAGGGTATTATTTTTTAGTAGCTTTATTTTGTTTTGTAATGAAGACTTATTTTTCAAATCATATTATTATATTTATAGCGTAGTTACAATTTTATAAAAATATCAGCAGATATCAGCAGATACAGGTGGTATTATCGTTGTTTTCGACTTCCATAACACACAGTGCTTTAGTTACTTAGGTGCTTTGGGATCAGACTAAAGAATGTGATGTTGTCTAATATTTATTTATTTTATCTTTATACGATGTTGAGAAACTCGTCTTGCTTACTCGTTAGATGATTACGGGGTGGAATGTTAAAGAAATATTTGCAATTTCGACTGGATTTATTTTGTGGTAATTATAATAATACGTGATTTTCACTATAGCTGCGAAATTGAGAGAGCGGCCGTGGTCTTATATAGACGTACGCGTGTGTGTGTGTGACTCGTTGGCAATACACACACACATGCTAGGCGTTAAGAGATATTTCTTATGAAAGAGAGAGATCTTTATTATTATTAAATCAAGTGTTTACCAGATCGTCTAAGGCTTCAGTAAATCTTCAGTAAACAGTTTGATTTGAACCGGTATGACACAATCTAGGTATAACAGGTCCAAAGCTCTACGTGCTTCCTGATTTATAGTTCTAATTAAACACCTGAACTCAAATCGTGAATACCCGTTAGAGACAGAGAATATAACAGATGGTAGGCGTCTGGATACCATTTCCTATTGTAAGTCAGTTTTAGCTCGAATATGTAAATTTATGAAAAAGGAAATTCGAGACTCTCTAACTTGAGAAAAGTGCGGAAGTAAGTGGGTATCTTGAGGAAGTTAGGATTTTATTTCAGATAAGCAATGGTTCGTGTTAAGATTAGAAGTGTGACGCATCAAATTGCGACCGTGGCCGCGGCCATATGTCTCCGTCAGTATTAAGAATACGTGTCGCGGAGACTTCGGCCCTGTCACCACCAGACTCATCCATCAACCCTTCCCCGATGATCTACTTTGCAAAAAGTACTTCTGTATTGATAAGTGAATTATTTAAGACGTGATGTTTATATAAAACGAAGTACGTCAAGATAGGAGCCTGATGGAGGTCCACGATCTCTGCCTACCTCATTATATATGTATGTGAAGTTTATTTAAAATCCATTAGTACAATTCTTGCCAGTGCAGTGCAACGTTGAATATTTTATGTAAGTATTGTACTTGTTAGTAGCAGTAGAGTTCCTCGTGAAAGAGTTCATCCAGGGAAGTACTGCCACCTAACCTATTTCTGCTGCGCAGCTGTAATGTCAGCATTACTGTGTTCCGGTTTTGAAGGGTAAGGGAGCTGGTGACATTTTATTACAGGTACATGGGATTTGTCAACTTATGTCTCAGGGTGCCAAGCG